TGTATATTTTTTTATCAAATGAATAAATGATAATGAACTAAAAAAAATATTTCTAACATATATTTTAATCAAAAACATATTTTAAAATTTTATTATAAATATTTTTTAGGATGTTAAATTAAATACTCTAAATTATATATTTTAATATAATAAGAAAGTAATGATACAATATTCATATCTTTAAGTGATATAAGTGTAATTTATTTTATATTTTAACATATAAAAGAAAGATAATATAATATTTATATCTTTCAAAGAGGAAAAATATAATTTATTTTAATGATGTTAAATTAAATAAATTAAACTATATATTTTAATAAAGAAAAATAAATAAATAAACATGTCATAAACAAGCTTACTAGACAAGCTCGATCGAGCTTCAAAAATTTTAATCAAATCATGTTAAATTTGTAAAATAATTAAAATTTTTGGCAACAAGCTAAGATATAATTGAACAAATAGCAATTTTTGAAAATATTAAACGTCAAAGAAAGAGAAGAATGCTTTTCAAAAAAAAAAAAAAAACTAGTACTTAAAAACGAACATAGGTTGTATATGATATGGTGTTTTTCTTTTATCGAGGCTACCATTTTGAGCTTATGAAAGCACTAAAACCTTTTTTCATTTCTATCGGAGTTTTTGCTTTATTTAAAAAGAAACACAATTTTTTAAAACATATCTTTTAATGAATAACAGTTTTCTTGGAAATTGAATTAATTAACTGCCTTTAACATGTGATTAATTGTCTTGAACTTCAATATTTGCTTTCTTTTCCATCCCTACTGTAGGGAGCAGCAACAACATGCTATGTAGCATTGCACCCACAAGTGAGGGAAATCAGTGGCAAGTATTTTGTAGATTGTAATATTGGCAGAGCAAACTCACAGGGAAGGGACATTGAGTTGGCCAAGAAACTTTGGGATTTTAGCATCAATTTGATTAAGTAGAATACCCAATGAATTAGGTTTGGACCTTTTGAATAGTGAATTCAGACATGATTCTATGAAATAATTTCCCATGTGCACCTGGAGTTAACACATCCTATGTGATTTTGATTTACATAACTTGATTGTAGTTTTGTTCTCTAGAGAATTATTTTCATCAGTATTTTTCTAAGCAGATGATGTCATGCCAATTGCTTAATTTTATAGTTATATATGTTTCTATTAATAAAAGAATTGAAGAATATTGGGAGGAAAGAGAAATCATTCTTTCTAAATGAAGAGAATGATTCTCATTATTTTATTAGAACAGAATTTGAGTTATATATACTCAACCTAAAGAATTTATTAGGGATGTGCAAAAATCTAGAGAATATATATATATATATATATATATATAAAAGAAAGGATTAATTCTATCTAAACTTATTCCGTTCAATAATTCATGTAACGACCCGCTTAGCCATCACACAATAAAACATTACCACACGAAAATAGAGTATGCATATAAAAGAGTAATTATATATACATATGTCTAGCCTGGGGTTCAACAATTCAATATTTAAAATTAACAAAATAGCTACACCAAGTAGCCCACAACAAAAGTCAACTCCTGTTACCACCTGTGGCTCGACTACTACTCTCCAGCCTATCCCTGCTCTGCTCTGATACACAGTATGATCATTGCAGTCCAACCCACATGAAAACAGGCAAGGTTAAGCTAGTGAAAAGAAATCAACATATAATATATTTACAAACACTTTCAACTTAACAGCAACATCATCATTCTCAACAGATTTAACATACAACATATAGCTCAATCACAGCTACACAACACACTACACATATACAACTCATATGAATCATCACATCAACATAACAACAACTTATGCATCGTCACGCATTTCAACTCGGAGATCTCCTACAACATGGGTGAGCAGTTTAAGTGGCTAGGTCCTACCGAACTGATAGCAAAGAACATTTTGGGCTTGCTAGGTAAACAACAAATTTGGATGCTAATCCACAACACGACAATGATTTCTCAGACTTTTCCACTTAAACAAGGAAGTATAGTACTATGTCAGGATAGAATAGCTAGGTTTTAGGCCTACCACAACATTAGCTAGCTTAACTAAGCCACCTATGGAATTAGCCTACCGAGTATCCTCCAAATACTACAACCTTCCGATACTCAGTTAGGAATTAAGTTCCCGACTTCGTACTTTACTCGATTGGCCGCTTGTAATTGGTATAGCTCGACCTGGCCCCTGAGTGTACGGATCTATTCCACCAACATCAACTGAGGCAAGAGCGTCTTTCACAGCTGATTCAAGAACAGCCATTCTTATTATTCTCTCGGGATCAGAAAAGGCTACGAAACTAGGCTATGAAAGCAGAGAGAACTCAAACTCCTAAACTAAACTTAGCAGGAGGTGAAGATCAAGCACATCATGAAAGAACGGAATGTTAAGTAGAATCGACAACGGAGGATATGAAATAGAAGCATTCCCTTATACCGTGGTCGTTTTATACACGTGTACCTCGACCTTACCCACACACGGGATCAACTAAGTCCTAGAGGAGAACAACACAATGTACACTCCAAGGGACAACTTCCCAAGGAGGGTTTTCAACAAATTGGGCTCTTTGAGCACCACAGCTTCCTCAATCCACACAATGGGATGAACAACTTCGAAAACATCTCCTCTAGTCCTAGTGATCAACAGCTCATCATTCAACAACACAGCTCAGCTTAACATCATTAATAGCTTAAAAAACATACAACACAACTCAACTTAACGACATTAAAAGCTTAAACAACATACAACACAACTCAACTTAACATCTTATCATCATATAAAAAATTCAACATTTTCAGCATTATAGAGTAAAACACTTCCACGCCCGGTGCAATAGGATTTGCGCCCGGCCTGGACCCAACCTAAGAGCTCTAAAGCTCTTACACGCCCGGCGTAATTCCAATTACGCCCGACGCAATAGGAGGCAGAGACTCCCAGGAGTCTCCCAAGCCTGGCGTACCAAACTCGCGCTCGGCGCAAAAAAGACAGAGACTTCACCAAGGTCTCACGCTCGGCGCGCTCATTCTACGCTCGGCGCCACCCCCCAGGTAGAGACCCCCATGGAGTCTCGATGCCCGGCGAGATCGAATCACGCCCGGCGCCACATCAGTAACCCAAACTTTTGAGCTACTAACTGATATCACGCCTAGCGCGATTCTCCCCACTCTTGACGTGAGTCATCCAGGGACTTCCATTCCCAACCTCGTCTGGCACAACCAACCTAGCACCCGACGTGCTTGGACAATGGAGTTCCCTGATGAACTCATGCCCGGCGCCAAGAACTACACCTAGCGCAATTTCAAACAACAACCCTCACAACTTCGAAATTTTTAAACAAAACCTGCAAATCAGCCAGCTCAAACACATGCAATCCATAAAATGAACTACATTTACATCATACAACTCAAAAACCATCTCTTTTTCAACATTCAACCATCAAACGCATAAAAATCACCATTTTCCCCAATTTTCCCGAAACCCCGAAAATGTACAAATCTCCAATCCAACCATTAATCTTCTGAATTCAAGCATCACTTAAGTACCTAAACGCACTTACAACCAATCTGCATGCAATCTAACTTCCCTTACCTCGAAGAAGAAGAATCCAAGCTCCTGGGGAAGAGGAAGAGAAGAAGAGAAATGGAAATAGGATGACGATGTTGGTGCTCTCAGCTAGCTCCTCTACTCAGCACCTACAATCACAAAGAAGTTTGAGAGTGATGAAACTAAGGAAGGAGAGAGTGGGAAGAAATGAGAAGAAATGAGAGTTGTGGAGGGGAAGGGGGAGACAAGTAGCGGGTCTTACAACTCATGTTCCACATCAAATTTTAATGATCCAACCGTTTAATTTAAAGTTCTTAATGCATAGATCAAATCTGCAAATTTTTAGAAAATTTGAAAATCATTTGATAGTTCATTTCATTAATTCAAATTGATGGATAATCATAAAATTATTTTATACATTGATTCGAATTAATAAAACGAAGTATTAAATGATTTTTAAATTTTCTAAAAATTTGTAGATTTGATCTATACATTAAAAGCTTTAAATTGAACGGTTAGATCATTGAAATTTAATGCAAAACATGAGTTATTGAACGGAGTAAGTTTAAATAGACTTACTCCTAGAGTAAAAGGATCCCTCCTATATATATATATATATATATATATATATATATATATATATGAGAATTGCTAATATACTCCCACTTATTTTTTAGTTAGAGTATGTTAGCAACTTATACCAAAATTTTAGGACAAAAAAATTATTTTTTTTATTTAATTAATTTATATAAAGGATATTATAATAATTTTATTTAATTTTAAAAAATAATAAAATAAATTGGAGAATGAAGAGAAAATATTGTGTCGGTCTATTTGTGTAGTTTTATTTTTAAAAAAAAATATTTCAGAAAAAATTTCCCAAAACGGGTGGTATATGATGATCACACGCGCGTGCGTGCGACTTCTTGTTCTAACACTAGATCCGCAAAGTCTGGCTTTTGCGAACAAAACGACATGATGTGGTGGCCGTTGAGGCGAAAAGAAGGTTCAGGCTTTTCATCTTGTTCGACTGCAGAGGAAGTTACCGAAGGAATCGATGCCACTGCTGTCACTGCTATCATCACAGGTTCCACGCTTCTTTTTGACTTTGACCAATCCATCTTTCAGGACTCAACATTTAATAATTATTCAGATATTAGATAAGAATGAATCAGGGGAAACCTATCAAAAACGTACACCTTTTCTTTATAGACATACACCAAACACTTCCTAGCAAGTCAACGCCCACTTCATATAGAGTTTAGTTACTATTTTACCATTTTTTTTTTTATATTTTTATTTTTTTTATATCCTGAGACAGGTATCCTTGGAATAAAAATTAATTTTGGCTTATAATACTGGGATAATTGGTTGGCCAAAAAGTATTCTCACACAGCGGGATCCAACGAATTAGTGTTTTAGCATTTGGATAACGGAAAATTAATACATATTTTTATATGGTTAAAATTCATTATACATAAATATTTTGAGTAAATGAATTGTAAGTTTTAGATTTATAATGAGTATTTTAAATTGTGGTATAAAATTATTTTTAATTATTGAAAATTTCTAAGAAGTTGTTGAATTTCATTTTAGAAACAAAGGTCATGGAGAATAAATGATTCAGAAGATTAAATTTAAGATAAAAAAAAATATATATGGTAGTTTGAGATGTCTAAGATAATTTTTTTTTTCTAGTTGCAAGATTAATGTGTTAAATATCAAAGAATATTGAGAACAGAGAATATTGAGAATGCCTAATTTGTAATATAGAACCAGGGGTCGACTCTACTACAATGTGGCATAGCATATTTTGAATCCCTTGTATGAAATGTGCTTACATTTAGTGTCTGACTATGAAAGAAAATTGTTCCCAGAGGATAACACCTATGGAGAACAAAACGATTTATAATATTGGAGTAGATTCCTATTTGGAAAAAAGATACATGGGCACCTTCACCAAGAAAGAGATAAGAGTAGTACAAAGATAAGTGGTTGATGTGATTGAGATATGTACCTATTTTTGAACATAAGCTTAGAAGTGTTTTTACAAAAAATTCTGTTGAAAAATACTTTTTATTTCTAATGGAGAAAGTTTCAAAGGCGTAACTTATATCCACAAAGATACATAATGTGATATGACAGATATATAGAAATGAGGAGTGTCAATTAGTTGTCCATAAAACAGCACTCTTCCTATATATTTGGTTGTCAATGCTTTTATGGGATCTGGAATTTAAAATAAAGTTACCTTTCCTACTAACTTTTGGTGCAAGAGCAGCAACTTGCACCACGTTGCTTCTAATGACTAGGAAGTGTTTCCACCTTAATTTGTATATTTTGGTTGGTGTTGGACAATGTAACAGGGGCATCCTGTGGTATTGGTGCTGAGACAGCCCGTGTTCTTGCTATGCGCGGTGCCCATTTAATTATGGGGGTGAGAAATATGAATGCTGCAAAACATGTTAAAGAAGCAATACTTAAGGAGATTTCCACAGCTAAGGTTGATGTCATGGATTTAGACCTTAGTTCAATGGCATCTGTTCGGAAATTTGCATCAGAGTTCATTTCATCTGGTCTTCCATTAAACATTCTGATGTAAGAGTACACACAATACGTTGTCAAACATTTCCTACATATATATATACATGTGTTTGTGTTCAATACAGTTGACAGTTTCTCTCTCTGCACATGCATCTTAATTCTGTTCATTCAAGAAAAAAATGGAGTAGTAATGATTTCTGGTTTATCTGTTGCAATTTAAGAAACAATGCAGGAATATTTGGAACCCCTTTCATGCTGTCTGAAGACAACATTGAACTACAATTTGCTACAAATCACTTGGGTATGCAGAGTCTACCTAATCTTCCATAACACGTAATATTTTTGAGCTTTCCAGAATATTAGGTTTAGGGGGGAAAAACATTATGGCAATGAAGTTTCCTCAGAGTGTAGGGAATCTGATGTGATTTTATTTATTTATTTATTTTCTGATTTAGATGATCAAGAAAGAGATGAACTTTACAGATAGTGTAGGGGATATGATGTGAAACATGTGTGTATGTGTCTCCTGTGAAGGATTTAAAAATCATTGATATATGAAATCTTTATGTACTCCTACACTTATGATCTGTTAAATCTTATATAATTGGGAGATAGTTTATATAAAACGTCAAATAACTCTTCTCATGCTTCTTTAAAAGCATAGGCTGAGAAGATATGGAAATGATCTTAATTTTTTTTATATACGTATGTAACATAATTCCACAGGTCATTTTCTTTTAACAAATCTGTTATTGGATACTATGAAGAAAACAGCACATGAAAGTAAGAAACAAGGAAGAATTGTTAATGTTTCCTCACAGGGTCATCACTTCACCTATCGAGAAGGCATCCTTTTTGATAAAATTAATGATCAATCAAGGTAAGAAGTAAGCTCATATGCAAATTAATATAATATGTTGTCCATTTCTTTCTTTTTTTATGGAAGGGGGTCAGACGTGATTCCTGTAGTGTTGCAAAGGATAAGTGTTATGTATAGTTCGTTATATGTTTGCATCTGTGTACAGTTATCAGAAATTTCGTGCATATGGACAGTCAAAGCTGGCTAACATTTTACATGCTAATGAACTTGCAAGACTTCTTAAGGTATGCTAATATTTATTGTACTGTATCCAGTAAGATGGTATTCTGGTGAGAGTCAGTTAATAGTGTTTTTTTCTATTATGTGGCATGTAGTTGGTTATTATTGATAGCTAGTATAAATTTACATCTATTATATCCCGTTAATAATTCTTAACTTTTGGCTGATTACTGAGAAACGGATGTGCCTGATGTTTTATATTTTCTTTTTGTTGTGTTTCAGACTCACAATTTGATTAAGAAATGGATATTTCTTCATGAATGTTTTTTACTATGGCAAGACCTGTTTCTATGTATTTTGAATGCATATTTAAGCATTGATTTCAACATAAGCAATTCTTTCATTTTGACACCAATTTCTAATGAGTTGTGTTTTGCATACTGTATGTCACTTGCCTTGCTATTGGTCAAGTTGATGTCACCTAACAAAACTGGTAAAAAAATTATACAAGTGAAAAACAAGGTTCAATTTGATTTTGCATCCTTTATTTGTAAAATTTATAATTTGAAAAATTAACATCCCTATAATTCAAAGACCGTAAAATAATGTAAATAATGTAAATTATGTAATGCAATGCTACTAGATGTGTTTAATTTAACTCCTTAGTATAACACTACCACAACCAAGAATAACCTTATCCCACTAGATGATGTTCGGTACACAGATCACACGACACCATTTGGTTTGGTGAAAGCCAAATTCTTAAGGATAGAATTCATTATGAGATTCTGTTTTAATAATTTTCTCCGCTGTCCTTCTTGGTCTCTTCTATCCCTTTCCACGGGGATAAAATTCATGCCATCTATTATTCTCACTTGTGCCTCCGATGTCATTTACACAAGTCCAACTTACCCTGACTGATTTTTTTCTTTCTTTTTCTTCATGATAGGTGTCATACCAATATTTCCTTGTATAATCATTTCACATCTTGTCCTTTTTTTGTGTGCTCACATATCTATTTTACTATGATTTGATAATTTATTGTATTGTTTGGAAACGTACCAATCTTTATTTATTTCTAGTTTATCCAGTGCCAATGATCAGTCTGGTTGAAGGGTAGGAACTAGGAAGTGTATTTTGCTGATGGATTGTTGGTAGCTTATGTATTGTAAGGAAGACTATCTTATTTATACTGTATCAAATTTGTTTCATATCTCACGAGTTCATTATGCTCGGCGGAGCTCAAGTTCCTTGCCAGATGCTAGCAAGTTTCTTGTTTAGAATTTATTGTTTTCTAACAGTATTTGTCTTCTGCACAATGTAACTACACTCTTGCTAGTCCCTTTATCTTACTAGTTGTGTAGGATATTTGATTCCTTTCTAACATCTATTAGCTGAATTGTCCATATCTTTTGTACGTGTAGATGATTAACTAGTTTGTAGGTAAAGAAGAGTATGTTAATTATTATCAGTACTAAATTTGTCGGTCTTTCATCTCAGACTACTCTCTTTCTCTTTATCTTGTTAGTTGTGTTGGATAAGTTTCTTCATTTTCTAATCTCTGTTAGTTGAATTCCATATTTTCTGTGTAGATGATTAACTAGTTTGTAGGTAGAGTCCAAAATTTTGTCAGCCTTTGATCTCAGACTACCCTCTTTTTATCCCCCTTTATCTTGCTTGTTGTGTAGGATATGTTGCTTCGTAATCTGAATTGTCCATATCTTCTGTGTGTAGATGGTTAACTAGTTTTCAGGAAAAGTTTGTCATTATCAGTATTTTGCCCTTTGACCTCAATTGGATTTAGACCCTACCTTTATGGAAACACTTAAACTTTGTATCCCTTCTAGTAGCTATAGTATTGTACCTCATAGCAACCACAATCATAAGATAATTTTGTTTAATTTCTCGTTTCTTTTCTCTCTTTGATTCAAGGACTTTCCTTTTCTTATGTTTGTGAGTAGGGGTTGTAGACGAGTCCAGGCAAACTCAACTCTTCAAGTTTGAGCTTGATTTGTGAGAAAAATTGATTGTTTAAGCTTGACTCATTTATTTAATTGAGCTTAACTGAAAGCTTGGCTTTGGCTTGTTAAAAATAACAACTAAGCTTGAACTTGACTTGTTTAAATCATTTTCAACTAAATTATTATTGCTTTTATGAAAATTTTCTTAAATTATTTTTTGACTTTATCAATATAGCATTTAGTATTTATCTTAAAAATAGATAATAGATAATTATATACTAACAGAAAAATGTGCTTAATATATGATAGGTGGAATCAGACTATTACATTTTCATAATTTAGTATATAAGAAAAAAGTTAGAACTTATTGACTATTACAAGAAGAAAAATAAAAGTTAATTTAAGCTTTTTTTTAAGAGACCACAACGTTTTTTTATTTTGGAAAAATAAAATTGAATTTACTAAAATATCAAACTTGACACCAGAAAGCTTTGATCATTTGCACTCCTTTTGTGAGTGAAAATTATCCTCTGGTTTTCCCTTATTTGTTGTCTCTGATATAAGTAATATTACTTTTTTGATGTTGCATGGTGATCAGGAAGATGGGGTAGATATCACTGCCAATTCTCTTCATCCAGGAGCCATTTCCACCAATATTCATCGTCACAACAGTGTGTTGACTGGTAACTACCGCACTGCACTATTTGATGTGAATATATGATCTGTCTTGGTGTGAAATACATGATATTCATCACCTTGAGACACCCTTTGTAATTTATAGCTTAGTTGCTACATCAGCGCCTTTTGTTTTTACATTGTTTTTTTCACCCCTATTTTTTATGCAAGTATTTTCCCATGAATGAGAGTTTAGTTTTTTAAGGCCATTTTTTGTTTTCTGTGTGGTTTATGCAGCCCTTCCAGGTGTAGTTAATATGTTGCTGCGTTTGTTCATTAAAAATGTCCAGCAGGTAAGTTAACCAATATGACCTATTTCCTTTCTCACGCTAATACTTCTCACCTTACCCACACTTCACATTCTGAAGAAGTTTATTCAAATAAATCTTAAAAAAAAAAAAAAGATCAGTTTATTTCCCATTATTTATTCTCCAACCTTTCTACAGGGAGCAGCAACAACATGTTATGTAGCATTGCACCCACAAGTGACAGGAATTAGTGGCGCGTATTTTGCAGACAGTAATCTTTCCAAAGCAAACTCACTTGGAAGAGACACTGACTTAGCTAAGAAACTTTGGGACTTCAGCATGAATTTGATCAAGTAGAAATTCACAATACTTGATGTGATGGCCATTGTCGATGCAGATGGCACACATCTTAGTGAATGGAAAAAGTCCATGATATTATTATGTATATTTTTCCATTTTTTAATGAGATTCACATTTTTGGTGGTCCTATGCAAGGAATTTACACCAACATATGTTGTTTCTTTTCATAAGTATTTTCTTTTGGAATAACATTGCTCTAGATAGCATCAAGCATTAAACGTGACAATCTCTCCAAATAAAGATTCAAATTCAGTTTGTTCTGTTGTGGGGACTATATATGCTACTTACTAGTAATTTAAATTGACAATATTGTGTGAACACAATGAAGGTTAGATAAGGTTGAATGAGTAATGTGTATATAATCAGATGTAAGTTTTGATTAGAGTGTCATCAAATTTTGTCTATTGAATTGAATTAATTTGATAATTCCAAATATCTCAATTACAAAGTAAAAACTGCCATACTTTGCCCATCAAGCCTCTCGACAACTCCTTCAATTTCATGCGTCAAGCAAACTATGATCTCCACCATGCTTGGGTTCAAGCAAATCTATTTCTAAGTTTATATTGTTTCTCGATCTGATTTTTCTTTATTACAAATTTTCAAATACGAAGATTTCTTGATTTTGTGTGTCTGATTTTGCTGATTTCAGATTTTGGACTATAAAGGATAGCAATAGTGAGAGAGCGAGGTTGGTTGTGAGTAGTACGTTGGTCATTGTGGGCTCGACGCCACTTCTTTTTGTAATTTTTTTTATAAGAAAAAATAATTTTAATTTAGGATAATTACAATAATTCTTTATATTTAAAAATTTACTTATCAAAATGATGATATTTATGTTTTATTTAAATCTTTAATATTCCCTTAATATTGTTTTAATTATAATTATTTAGGAATTAAAATTTTTTATTATCAATATATACTATTAACAGAGACGATGTCTTTTCATGTGTACATTTTGTAATTGTTTTGTGTCTTAATTTTAAAACACTCTTTCTCTTCTATATTTTTTA